GTACGTCGCAAGCGACTCGGTCGCCTCCTTCTTGAAGGTGACGATGACCGACGTCGTGCCGTCGACTTCAAGCTCGCGGAGGACCGCGCTTGTGACCTTGGCGTGCGCAGCGGCCGCGAGGGCAGCGAGGGCAAAGAGGACCTTCATTATGGAAGTAGTTGCTGGCTGATACAAGTGCAATTGTAAAATGAACCGAGAAACCTCGACGCCGTGCGATCTGAGTCCGTCTAAAACATGTGTTGGCGTGGGTGGAACCGTCCACTTGCGACGACGTGCTTGAAATCTAATCCTTACTGCAGATACACTAACTATACTGGGTGGGGTCGTCGCATTGAATGTGCTGGCGTGGGATCCATGCAGCCAATTAGGTAGAGACTCACGCGCTGCAGATGCACACGCAAAGAGACGCGATGTGAGAAGAGGTGGACGCACATCCTAGATCTGATTTGGACCAGACCATCATCTAATCGGTTCGTGCAGAAACCAACGAGCGGCCGTAGCGTGAACATCTGCCGTGCCCATGGAGCATGTGTTTAAAACTGGGTTTTACGCGCGTGCACGCGAGCGCGGGCTGCCAGTGTATTGCACTAGCGTTACAAAATGCATGGTACACACCGCTGAAAACGCCAGCTTTGATTCGTAGTCGGACCGATTGCTCCCATGTGTATGTAACTTCGCCAGCACGGTACGAAGAGGATGTAGTGAAATTGTGCTGTTTAAAACATGATGTATTTTACGCCTGATAGATGTGTGCCACTGTGGCCAGCCTGTCGACGCAAGCCGCCCACGCTCGAGGCCAATCTTCGAGACGCTTCCGATGACTGCTCAGTCCCTTCTTCGTGTTCTTCTGCAGCATCGTACGCTACAGAGCTACGAATGGCGGCCAAGTTCTCAGGAGGCGTCTGATATCGACGCAAGATGGTCAGCTGAGAAGCGCTACGCTGTGAGCCAGGCTGTACCTCCAATCAAGCCGCACCTTGCACCAAGAGCTCGCACGACTCGTATCGGGCGTCGTAAATGGCGGTGGTTGTCGTGGTGGCACGCAGCCACCTGCAGCTTCGACCCGCACAAGCTTGTAGCTGTGGTGAATGAAGTACATGGGCGCTTGGCGCTTGGGTGCGTCTCGGATAGCACGATGTCAAGATACTTTTTTTCAGTACCGCGCTGAGATATCCAACAATTGCACGACGGCAATCAGACAACAAGAGGTCGATCTACGTCTTTTCGTACCGTTCGTGAGTGTTCCTTGGAACAACGAAATGGAATGGTCTCAACAAGTGCTTGTCGTCACCGCTCTGGCCAGCATCGCGTCGACAAGGTTCTTGGGTGCTCTGGAGCTGGCAAGCGCAACCGCATCATTAGTACGACCAGCATTGCGATTACGAGGAGATGCGGGAGCGAACGCCAGGGTCGGCGCTCCATGACGTCCGATAACAAAGTCTTTGTCGCCTCTAAGCTCAAGCCTTGTGGGTGGAGACACGCTGCGATGCGAACATACACCCCGACATTGCCTTGGTGCGCAGCGGCTATGTAGACCGCATCGACGGCTGCTTCGTCATCGGTGAGGGTGCAAGCCTCGCAAGGAACCGTGGTGACACGTGTTGCAAGCAAAGACGCCTGCCGCGGTCCGTCGCTGGCATCTGCTTGATCCTCGCGCTAAGCCGCTCAACCTCGACGATGCACCACGGGAGTCCGCCGTGCTGGTGCGCCGTGAGCATTGGCCAAAGCGCATCGTTCAGCAACACCGCGGCCGCCATGCTAATGTCCTTTCTGCTCCGCTGTCACATCCGGACGACACATCGTGACACGGTGATTGGTTGTTTTTCAGACATGGGGACAAATGAAAATGGCGCTCTTGAGGTACCACGTCCCCAGAGCGGCGGCACGTGCTACCCTACCTCAAGCTGGCCCAAGGTGCGTCCATCGGAAAGCCCGGCACGCATTCGGCGGCGCGCAGCGCTCCTCCAACCTGCAGCGCGCCGCTGGCCAACACGGACTATGTGGGCCAGGACTTGAGTAACGTCGCTGCCACGTCCGTCAACGAGTGCTGCGCGGCTTGTCTCGCTGTCGCCACCTGCAACGCCTACAGCTTCAAGGCCAACGTCTGCTACCTCAAGAGCGGCAGCAACAACCAAGTGTCGCTGCCGGGCGTCACGGCCGTCGCGCTCTACCGCTGCTCGGCACCGGAGCTCGGCGTCGACTATGTCGACAACGACATTGGCAATGTGGCGTCGCCATCGTACGTGCGCTGCTGCGAGCTGTGCCGCAACACGGCCGGGTGCCATGCGTTCTCGTGGGCCAGCGGCGTGTGCTACTTGAAGAGCGCCAAGGGTGCGACGACGAACGCAGCCGGCGTCACCTCGGCCATGGTGCTTTAGCTTCGTCTGGCGTCCACTGCTGTGTTGCTTGCATGTACCTCTGCAACACGAAATGTTGAGGTTGAAGTCCGTCTTGTTGTGTCTTTAAGAGGGGCATGTCACATGTAGAAAGAGAAGGAGCTAGTGCTAGCAGCGAGGTGGTCTAATCTATTCATTGCACACGATCAAGGATCCAGAATACAGCGTGATCACCACAGTCTACTAGATCGTTGTCTGAAATGAGTCACCAGCAATATC